GACAAACTATCTTTGACCTGGACTCTATTCCGACGACTTACGGTTGCCATAGATTAGGTGGGAACGAATTTTTTTTGGCGGTCTACTGAAAACTTATGCCGACGATATGCCGTTGGTATAGGTTACGGATTTTATAATTTCGATTTATTTGTTTTTCTTTGTGTTGAAACAAAATAACGACGACGTTTTGTGGATATCTATCCCGGCGACATGTCGTTGGCATAAGACTTGGCGATCCACGTGAAAAATCAAAACTGGGAAAATCGAAACGACGTAGTTTTTTCTAACTCTATACCGACGACATGTCGTCGGCATTGGGTTTAAACCTAACATATCTTAGTCAATCGACTTCATTTGCATCGCAACTGTCTTTTGTTTCTCTGTCGCTCTCTCAACGAAAAATTACCACTCCAGCGATTCTCCTTTACCGTCGACGAGCTCGTATGCTTCTTAATCCTTCTTTTCTTCTATGTTACGGATTGCTCAAGTCATTTACCATACTTTTGGGTGGGGTTTTTTTTTCTCCAGTTGCCATTCACAGTCCTTCACTACCATCGGCATCTACATCTCTTTCCTGTGACCTTATTCCAGTGTACATCGTTGACCCTTCACCACCACTCATATCACCGATGATTTTGAAATAAAGTTCGGATTTCATTTTTTTTTTTTTTTTTTTTCTGTTTTGGAAAGTTTTTGAGATATGATTGACTTATGTTTATGCTCACTGTGATGTATGAAGTCTTAATTGCTCAACCGGAATGTGTGTTTAGATGATACTCTAAAGCAGCTTCAAAGAGTAACTACAAGGTCAAACTCTATCTAGCCTTGAGTTTTTAGTTAAACTTGTTTAAGGAATCATTAGTTTCAAGTTTGGATCCATTATGTATTAACAAATGCAAATATACAAACTTTTACATTGAAGTGCAATAAGATTACTTCTACAATTTATTTCAACAAAACAATAATTGACATATAGTCAAAACTTAGATTGAATGTAAAACCTAAAAGCTTTATGGAGACTTCAAAGTTATCTTTTATTTGTCTAAAAGTTCAGCTAGCTCAATGTCTTCTGGTACGATCAGCTGTTTTTGAGATACCAACAGCAACAAATATACAAAACTAAGTAGTGTTACTCGTATTTAAACTAGAAAATACTAACAAAAAATATAAGACACATTTAGTATTGATATGTATAGGAATTTGTTTGGAAATTAAGCTCGGATTTTTTTATTCACAAATGCAAATGTAGAAATATAACAAATGAACAGTAGATTTGTCTATATTGGCATTGCTATTGTTATTTAGCATGCCTATAATAATATAATTTGCTCATTAATGCATACCTTTTGTTTTGTTTTGAATGTGTTTTTTGGATGTAAGTATCATTTTGTACATGCTTTCATAATTTGCTAATTGTAACATAGTATACTTTTGGATGTAAGTCCCAATACTTACTTTTACAAAAAAAAAAAAAAAAAAGTAACATAAAAACAAAAAACGTTTGTGTTCTTTCTATAATGGTTATTTTAATGCAATTGCTGCCAATGTAATTCTTGTATGGCTTGGTTTTGGACTATGATCTGGTTTCCTGTAGTTATCTCTTGGTTATGTGATTAAAACCGTGTTTTTTTTGAAGCTGAAAAGACCCGGTTATTTGAATGGGACCGGTCCATATTTAATCATTATACGGCCTGGTTGTAGAATTGAAACCGGGCTCTTATCTAATTTTATCAAGCGGGTCCTATGAACTTTTTTGTAGTAGTGTAATTACATTAATAATAATAGAATTTTTTTCGTTGGTTTCCTTACATGTCTATTAGATCTGATAATCCACAATACATACTAGACAATAACAACCTACATCAGATACCGACTACCAACTAGATACCATCTTTGTCTGTAGTTCCTAGTACTAATGATACCACTATACGAGTGATTTACCACCTTTTGATACATGTTTTGTTTGCTTTCCTACCTTTGATCGCTATCCACTCCTGCTCATCATCATAATCACCATTTTTAGTCGTAGACCAGACCACTGCATCAGCAATGAGTTTTGGTGATTAAAAAAAACAAAATTTATTATTTGTTTCCCTACAATTATGTTTAAATTTAAAATGAAACATTTGAGAATATCAATGTGTAATAAAGATTCAAGTTCCAGCAACATTAAGGCGAAACGGTAAGGAGGTTACTTGGCTACGCGTGGGTCTGATGTGGCAAGGTCACCTACGCGTGAACACCGCCCAGGTGCGCGTAGGTGCCTTGTGGCGTGGTGCGTATCACGGACGAAGACGTCCAATCAAAAAGAGAGAGAGAGTATGTAATGGGGTTTTTTTTACCGTTTGCATGTTAAACAAAAAAAATTAAAAAAAATACTTCTACTTTCTTTCACTTTTCTTCAAAAAAATGGATCCCAACCAAAATACTTCACCCACTCCAAACACCCCAAACACTCCTAATGATTATCAAGCTTATATGCAATTGTTGAATTCTCCAATCTAACAACAACCTTTATTCACTAACCTTCCGTACAACCCACAAATCCTCCAACAACAACGACCACAACAATAATTCATTCCCCAATTCAAAGGTTTCCAACAATAAGCTTCTCCACAATTCCAAACTCAATCGTCTCAAGTCGCATTATCTCAATCCCAAATCGTGAACCTCGACAATGACGATGTACTTGTCCAAGAAACACCACAATGATCCCCAAGAAGGCAACCAAAAGGAAAAGGGAAAAAGAAAAGCAACGACTTGGAATGAAGAAGAGGAAGAAGCTTTAGCAAAAGCTTGGATTTTCATATCCGGTAATTCGAGAAGAGGCAACGCGCAAACTGGAGAAAGTTTTTGGAATTGTGTTTTGGATCATTTTCACGCGCTACTTGGAAGGAAAACGGATCGGTCCTACGACGCGGTCAACGGGAAATGGCGTGATCTTCGTGCGATTTGCACAAAGTTTAATGACATATTTGAAAATCTAAAAAATATGCATAAAAGTGGTTACAACGATTTCAACATTTTATCAACCGTGTGCTACCAATTCAAAGTGACCAACAACGGTAAACCATTTGGTCACCAAAAAAACATGGGAAGTTTTCCGTCAAGGTCCAAAATGGGTCCTTAATCCGGAGACATCACATTTGGACTCGACCACCGGCTCCAACAAAAGAGCAAGAACTTCTGAATCGGACACGGGTTTTGGGTTAGACCTCAATGATGACGTCGATGTTGCCGAGGGAGACGGTCCACCTGAAGTCCAACTCCGTCGACCACCGGGAAGGGACAAAACAAAACGTCCGACGTCTTCAAGCGGGAAAGCAACCGCAACTAGCGACGATGGGCTTGTGGAATAAATAGATAAAACTTTGAGTTTTCTAGAAAAAAAAAAAAATACAAATCCACGGAGGAAGCTCGTCGCCAAAAAATCGCTCTTACCGATCTTCAAATCATAAACTCGAAGCCCCTACCGGATCTCGACCCCGAAAATCTCGCGACATTTATCAAAATCCAACAACGTGTCCGTGCTAAGTATGCGGATTAGGTTATAATATTTATGTTTTAGTTGTTGTGTGTGTTTTTTTTAAGTAAATTAGGATAAACAAGTAATTTATGATTTTTTTTGTCGTTTGAGTATTTTAGGAAAAATAAGTAATTTAGGTTTTTTTTTTTATTGTTGTGTGTTTAAAAATTAAAGCAATCTTTTTTAATTTAATGATTCTATTGTGTGTCTTATTTGAATTATTTTTTAATTTAATTTAATATAATTCATATAAAAAAGAAAAAAAAATGTTGTGGAGTGGTAACTATTTCTAAGGGTTAGTGGGTTGATAGTGGGTTAGTAGTGAAGGTGATATGGTGCTCACGTGAGTTCACTTTTTGAGTAGACTTGTGGTAACCATATCCCTTAGCCTAATCTAACACGCATGAGAGTACGCATGAGAGTGATGCGACCTTATAGCCTTTATAATAAATTTAGAATTTACCAACCAAATTGAATGTACCTTCCCCTAAAAGTTCAAGAAAATGTTTTACTTTTTTTCATTCGGAAAAAAATAATTTAAATGCATATCAAGAAGACGTATTTGATGATTGTAATGATGTTTTACCTTTAGTTCGCCACTGTTGTTTCGGTGGTGAGATACACAAATGCTAGTTTGACGATCCAATGTTTTTACCATGGGGCAAGATATTTTCTTTGATTAAAAAAGCCTTTTGTTTAGACTAGTCGGAAAATAAATTATAAGTTAAATGTATTTAAACGGTTATATTTAATTATTTTTCACATATTGTAAAAAAATAAAACATTCTTCACAGTGGGTTTTCAAGTTATATATAATTTTGTAAAGTAAGTTTTTTGGACCATATCAAGACCTAATAAACATTCAAGGTTCCACTCAAATAATTCTAAAATATGAAAAATGTTAGACAAATAATTAAAATCCACGGATCATAGACACTTTATGTGATTTCTTTATCTAGTTAAGAATTGGACAATGTAATAAGCTGAATGTGTCTTTAGATGACAAGTTTGATTAAGTCATTGTTTATTTTTTTACTCTTTCCAAACATACGCCACCTTGATATGTTCCAATGTTTTTAGTATAAAAGCATAACCAAGTTGCATGTTATTCACAAACTTCTCAAGCTAATTAACAAAGACATCAAAGCACAAGTTTCCCCTTCTCAACAATGACATCTCATTTGCTTTTATTTGGTCTCTTGGTGGCGGGCTGCTGCCTTGCATTTGCTTCGGACCCTAGTCCTCTTCAGGACTTCTGTGTGGCACACCAAAATAGCACAGGTAAGAATTTATGTGTGAAGGTCGAGAAACACTCCAGCATTTTCATGCATGATTTGAAAACATATCATACTTAACTGTGATTAATAGTTTATTTATTTAATTGTTGTTCCTCGTAGTATTCGTGAATGGCTAGGTTTGCAAAGAGGCAAGGCTTGTACAAGCTGATGATTTCTTTTATAGTGGGCTGCAACTAATGGGAAATACTTCAAATGCGGTTGGGTCTGCTGTGACTCCTGTGACTGTAGCAGAGTTGCCGGGACTTAACACTCTTGGTATCTCAATGGCACGTATTGACTTTGCCCCACAGGGTATTAACCCCCCACATACACACCCTCGGGCCACTGAACTTTTGACAATTATGGAAGGCCGTATTCTAGTCGGGTTTGTCACATCCAACCCTGAAAACCGACTCATCACAAAAGTACTTCAGAAAGGCGATGTTTTCGTGTTCCCAGAAGGTCTAATTCACTTCCAGAAAAACGTGGGAAATGGTTATGCCGTTGCTATTGCTGCTTTGAGTAGTCAAAATCCAGGTGTTATTACCATTGCAAATGCTGTGTTTGGATCAAATCCCGATATCACAGCAGATATTCTTGCAAAGGCTTTTCAAGTTGACGTCAACGTGGTCTATCAAATTCAATCTAAGTTCTAGCTTTTATGCGATTTAAAAATGTTGTTTTCAGTGTTTTATACCCTTCAATCTTTTGATATTTGTTATTCTTGTGTTGCTATACTTAAAATTGAATAAAAAAAAATACATTCTATTGTAACCGTGATTTAGATGTAAATAATATTTGGAATTAACTACTTCAAAACGATGATATAATGTTAAAAACTTGCATTGTGCTAGCAATTGAGTTCCAAATTACAAAGAAAAAATAAGATTAAATGGTCCCACGTGCTTTAAGAAAGTGAGGAGTTTAGTATTTTTTTTTTCCTTGATGAGTATAAGTATATACTTATGATTTCAATTCTATCGGTCCATATTCCATAACTTATGTAAATTTACTTTTGTATCATTTTAAATAATGTTTTGCTTAATATAATTAAAAAGGATAATAAGTAAACCCTAACCGCACATCCAATCCCATCCGCCTTTCCTTACGCCACCACACCCAGTCCACCCATTAGATTCCACTCCATTCTTCTAATAGCAAATGTTACTTGATGATCAATATAATCATAAATGGTGTATTAATTGTGGTTGCTCACTTCATATAACTAGGATGAATAAACTTGAGTGGATAAGAGTCGTAAAGTTTGAAAATAATAAAAAGCATTGATCAAAGGTTGCATAACCATTACGAATGGTCAATTCACAATAAACCGGTTGCATACGTGGACGGGTTAAAATACAATCTCATCACTGTTTCTCAACATGTTTTTGGAACTGGAAATAAAATCACTCTCGATGAGGAAGGAAGTATGATCAAGAATAAAAAGACAAATGAGGTTTTGTTTAAGTCCAAAAAAAAAAAGTTGATATATATCATTTGTATATCACTCTGATCAAATTAAGGTGCTCCTTTGAAAAGTAGTATATGACATAAGTTGTTTGTAGGATTAGAGAATCTTTCACTTAAATTTCAAGAACATCCATAAGTCAGTTACATAAGATTTGATGAGAGGATTACCAAATTTGAAATTTAATAATGATCACTTATGTGTTGCATGTGAACACGGAAAGCAACATCATCAAAGTCATTTAATTATAATTGAGATTAACATCACGAAGCTATTTTAGCTGCTACTTGTTGATCATTATGGACCTTCAGAAAAGGAAAATTATAGAGGAAAGAAGTGCATCCTCGTTATTGGTGATAATTTTTCAAACTTCACATGGGTAATCCATCATAAAGGGTGATGACTGGTGCTCCACAAAAAGAATATCAGGTTTTAATGAACATTTATTGTAAATATTGCATGTTTCATGTGTTCTTGTCCAAAGTTGAACCAAGAATGTCAAAGTTGTTTTAAAATATTCTGAATGGGTCAAAGCTTTCAAATTAGAATATTGGAGGTTAAAAGAAATTGTGTTTGGAGATTAATTCTTAAACCTCATGATGCATCTATCTTTGGTTTTAAGTAGGTTTTGCGAAATAAGGGAATATCATCTAGAATAAAGAAAGATTGGTTCTCAAATGATACTACCAGCAAGAAGGCATTCATAATGAGAAAGCTTTTTTTTACCAATTGCATAATTAGGAGTTGTCTGAATATTTCTTATGTAAGATGTTCACAAAAACTTTGATATATATAAAATGGATGTAAGTGCGCCTTCCTCAACAATGAACTTGAAGAAAGTGTGTACATGGGAAAACCTTTGGGGATTATGAATAAAAACTATCCTTATTGTTGTTATATTTTTGATAAAACTGTTTATGGGTTAAAACATGCTCCATGTGCTTGGTTTGAAACAATTTCTTGTTTTTTTTTTTTTTTTTTTTGAAAATCTCAAAGTTCAAACAAAGCTCGGTAGATCCAACATTTTTTTTTCACAAAAGGTTGGCAATCAGTAAATGTTGGTGAAAATCTACATGGATGACATAATTTTTGGTTCTACGGATCGTTCTCTTAGAATGAATTTGAACAATCATTGCAAATCAAGTTTGAAATGAGTATGATGGGTAAAATAAATTTCATTTTAGGTTACGAATAAACCAATTTCGTGACAAAATTTTTACAAGTCAAGAATCTTATAACAAAAGTCTCTCGATAATATTTGGTATGCAAAATTGTTCGGATTCCCAATGGCATTTCTAACAAAATTAGGTCCGTGTAGGGTAAACCATCCGTGGAAATGCGCAATTATGAGAGAACCTCATTTGCAAGCAGTATAGAACATTTCCTGATAACTTCCTTACTTTATCATACCGCAAGTAAACCTGCTATTCATTGCCTGTTAATATGTTAGGTTTCAAGCTAATATGATAGAACCTCATTTGCAAGCAATATAGAACATTTCCTGATAACTACACAAGACTCAAACTCATGGTCTATTGTATCCAGCCAAAACCAGATTTTATATTCAAGCATATTTAGATGTAGATCTGGTTGGATGTCATATTACATGGAAAAGAACTTCGGGCTTATGGCAATTTCTTGATGGCAAATCGATCAACTAGAAATCCAAAAAGAAAACAAGTGTATCAATATTAAGGTTCACCACAACGATTGGAATGAAGCCACCATCCATAATTTGGCATTCGGAGACGAAGATCTCTTTAATCATCTTCCTTCATGGAGTTATTCTACAATAAAGCTTCCGGATGAGCAATTGGAAATGCCTATCACACCAAGGGCTTTCAATTTTCAGTTATTTTGGACAAAGGAAATTACTAAGATCGAATACTAAATAACAATCTTTTGATAAGATTTTATGTCATGAATGGAAAACCACAAGAGGATGTGCAGACGTTTAAAGGAAATAAATAAACTATTTCCATCAAACCAATAGAAATTTATAAGAACATAATTTAAGACTATGAATTTTATGTGTTGTGAATGGATGTTCAAATTTATAATTTCAATGTGGTGTACTTTCCTCTTATTAGTTCTCTTTATTTGATAGTCTTGTATGTTGATAACAAATATCATTTATTATACTTTGCCAACAACCTATATCAAGCAATTTATGGTAGTATATTTCAATGAAATTGGCAAGACTAAATACGATGTGTGAAAGTGTTTGAAACTCGAGGAGTTACATCCCAAAGGTAGTCTTGATAATCAACAAATGTATGTTGACGGACAAATTATTTAAACACTTAACCGGGGAGTTCTTTACGGTATGCAAACTTCTCATAATCGAATTTTAAAATGACTTTCTGGAATAATTCATATGGAACATTTTCCTACTTCAACAATTGAGAGTAAACTGTGGAGAATCCACATTCCTATAATTATTTATGTTGAGGAAAATAATGTAACAAAAGTTCGCTCTTGGTGGTTGGCAGGTTGGATTTTACCTTACAAGCCTATGTGAAGATTGAACCACAAAGGGGAAGATTGTTGGGCTTATTTTTGTTGTCATTTCTTGTCTGTGTAATATCAATACCTAGGTTTTTGATTTTGTATATGCAGACTAGTTGTATCTAGATTCCACCTAGGACTTATTTCTTATGTTGCACACCCAAGTGCATGTTAGCATACACAGTTGGTTATTTGTATTCACATGTAATATCCTAGGTGTCATTGTTTGATAGGTGATTCCTCTATTTGAATATATCATGTCCACTATAAATATGTGGCTGGATAAGTCAATCATATAACAAGCTAGACATAATCTTTTTCATCTTTCTGGCATAAAGCTTAGTGGATTTCATTAGAGTTTGTGCTACTACTATAAATCATTAAGCTATCCGTGAATCTGTTGGAAATTAAGCAATGGAATAGTAAACAATTCAAAAACCAACAGGGGTAAAGCTGGAAATGGGCAGCCAAATGATTAACTTTTATTAAATGAATGATAGCAACCTAATGATTGAGTTGTTGTACAAAGAAATTTCGATTGATGGATTGTAACTTCTAATCTATGATATTTATACTACTATACATCAACTGAAAATGAGAAATAATAGGAACAGTCAATTTTCCAACGGTCATGACTTCCCATGTGTTTTATTCCTTCGTAATTACTAGGTCAAACTTTGACCAACATTTCTCCCCCTCAAGGTTAACCTTTCTTCTTCAGATCTTCTATGCCAATTAGTGCACTTATCTCAGCAAACTTTGTTCTTGGCATTGCCTTTGTTAGAACATCAGCCTTCTGTTGATCTCTACACACATGCTCCACTTGAATATGTTCCCTTTCAACACACATACAAATAAAGTGGAACTTTTGTGTCTATATGCTTGCTTCTGCTATGGGACACCAAATTTCTTATGAGTGCTCTGGTGGATTGGTTGTCAATTAACAACTTCACCTTCTGTACTTTCTTTTCCATCAGCTCACTGAACAGGTTCCTTAACCATGGTCCTTGACATGTAGCTGTTGTTGCAGCCATATATTCAGCTTTACATGAAATTAGGGCCACAGTTTTCTGTTTTTGTGATGCCCATGTTATAAGGTTTCTTGAGTAGTAGTAAGCTACTCCAGTGGTTCCTCTCTTGTCTTCACAGTCATTATTGTAGTTGCTCTCACTATAGCCCACAACTCTTCCATTTATACGTAGATAACTATATATAGTCTTACAAAAGGAGCATAAAAAAACTAATTCTACCTAAAGACTAGGTAAGTAGATGACTTCTTCAATACCCAACGTGCACATCAATATGAATTAGTCAAATCCCATTATCCCAACTTTTGTTTATTTGGCCTTTAAATAAAATAAACCAAAATAAACTATTAACTTTTTAAACTATGTGACAATGAAACTGATTAACCCAACAATCACCCCCTTAATCAGTTTGGTAATACCACTCATTCACAACATCCTTTAACGATTCTTAACTTTTTCCGGACATCCGAAGTCTTTACCCAATCATGAATTTTCCTGGACACCCGACCTTCACCTCGGTCATGTCCAAAGTGCTCTATACCCGACTGTTGTTATTCACCACACAGAATCCGTTTTCACCTAAAACTTCTTGTGAAACGAGAGCCTTCTTCCACCGATCAAGAAAACAAAGAAACTTGCTTTTCCCGTCTTCTTTCACCTGCAAAACGAAACAAACCCAAAGCCACCTGCTTTGACGGATCTTTTAAGTTCGTTTTCTCACACATCTCTGGTAACTCTCTCCACTTTCCGACGACATACCTACAACCTACCGCTATAAGCACCACCTTGTCGGACACCACAAAACAAAAGGCAGCCATCAAAGAAACCAACCAAATGAACCAACTTTTGCGCCATTAACCAGTGACGAACACTAACAACTTCATGACCTCTGTTTACCTTCGATCCACAGGATGCTTTAACTGCAAACCTCATCGACAACAACTACTAAAACCAGTTGTGATCAACCCACTAACGACGATCCATCACCCTCATCACCAGAAACACGGGTTCCTACTGCATCTGCGCTGCTGCAAAGGGCTACCCTTTTTGTGAAACCGACTCTCAAACGGGCCTTGTTCCTTTTCACAAACCCTAAGCTTTGATACCAATTGTTGGTACAGGCCTGTAGTTAAACTTACAGATATATCTTTATGTGAGTTTGATAGAGATTTGAGTTCTGAAATATGTACAGTGGAAAAGGAAAATAAAAAAAAAAAAAAAAAAAAAAAAAAACAACCAAAAGACCTAAGCTCTGATACCAATTTTGGAAATTAAGCAATGGAACAGTAAACAGTTCAAAGACCAACATGGGTAAAACTGGAAATGGGAAGACGAATGATAATCTTTTATTGAATGAAGAATAGCAACCTAATGATTGAGTTGCTGTACAAAGAAATTTCAACTGCTGGATTGTAACTTTTAATCTATGCCATTTATACTACTAAACATCAACTTAAAAATGAGAAATAATAGGAACAGTCAATTTTCCAACGATCATCACTTCCCATGTGTTTTATAGCATAGATTAGAAGCAATGTTTTAAAACCTGGGTTGACCCGGCCGGTTCAACCGGTTGGACCGTGACCCGGGGTAGAAGGCAGGTCAATTGAGACCGGTTTTTTGAAAAAAACAAACCGGATCGAACCGGCTGGGTTTCCTCTAAACCGCGGTTCAACCGTTTATGTTGAACCGGTTAAAACCGGATTAACCCGTTTTAATAGGTTTTGGATAGTTGTAAACAAGTAGCGAACGCCAAAACAATGAGCCGTTTGCGGTTTCTTCAATGTTTTTAAATATTTAAACTTTGTGGATATTAAATTATTGGTTTTATATGTTTATATATTATGCATGAAAGTAAAAATATATAAAAATAGAAAAAGACCATAATCCGGGTTGACCCGTGAACCGGTCATCTTACCAGGTCAACCAAAAACCCGAGTTTTAAAACATTGATTAGAAGTTACTATCCATCAGTCGAAATTTCTTTGTACAACAACTCAATCATTAGGTTTCTATCCTTCATTCAATAAAAGTTAATCATTCGGCTGCCCATTTCCAACTTTACCCTTGTTGGTTTTTGAACTGTTTACTGTTCGATTGCTTAATTTCCATCAGTTGGTATAGAGCTTAGGGCTTGTGGTATTTTTTGTATTAAACAGTCGCATTGCTTAATTTCCAACAATTTGTATAGAGCTTAGGGCTAGTGGTTTTTTTGTATTTTCCTTTTCCTCTGTACATATTTCAGAACTCAATTCTCTATCGAACTCACATAAAGAGATATCTGTGAGTTTAACTACAGGGCCTGTACCAACAGAATCCTCTCTTGCAATGTTTAATCTGAATTGTTTCATTTATATTCCGCATTCGTTGCTTTGATTGTTGATTATAAATTCACTACAGTGAGTGATGATTTATTGGTATAAACCATATTTGTTTCTTGAGTATCCTAGCCCATGTGACTCCACAAATCCTGAAGAACCTATTAACTTGTCGATTATTCATATACATACTGGACGACAATGGCCTACATCAGATCCCCATTGGATACTATCTTTTTCTACAGTCCTTAGTACCAATGATACCCCTATGAGTGATTTACCACCTTCTGATACACAAGATACTCAACAATGACTATACGTCAAAAATGACTTTTGAGGGTAAAAGTAAAATATATTTTTACTATTATATAAAACATATTCACCATTTCTTGAATATTAAGAAGTACAAAACTTAATACAACATATACAATCATTTTATGCTTGATGTTTACTACGCATAAAACTTGTAACGCTTACAACTTATAAAGTTTCCTTCTAATTAAATAAGAAAATCAATGTATACGTTTCGTTTCATTACTTGAGAAAAATTCTCATTTGTTTATAACATCACATTGTCTCTCAATTCAATATCCATAAACCCTAAACGTCCTCATTTCTCTACACCATCAACACATTTAACCGCCATCTCCAGCATCTCTCTTCTATCACATTGATTTTCAGGCAACGAACACCACCAGAATCCATACATGCATCTCTCTAACCTGACTTACGATCCAACCCCGGGCCACTCCACCACTCATAAACCCTAAACGGAGAGTTGTCGTCACTGATTTCAAACTCATTTCTCTGACGCCATCATCGCTCCTTCCACACCCACAAGACAGAGAAAGAGAGTGTGTTTTTACTCATCACCCTTGCCTCCTTTGCCCCCATTGGTAATCATAATTTCTATCACACACTCTGACTGTGTTTTTTTACTCGATTCATTCAAATTTTATGTATATATACGCTTCCAATCGCATTGCACTTGAAAACTGAACAACTGAAACCATACATAATGTTGATGGCATGCATGCAGTTAGGATCTACATCAGTGGTTTTTCATCTTGATCAGGACGAAAAAACATGGTTAGTCGTTCTTCTGTTTTTTCGTTCGTTATGTGTTTAAATATCACATCAATTGTAAATACTGATTCATAATTTTGATTGATATCCACATTTGGAATTTTTCGATGTCGATGGTTTCTTTTTGTCCCCAATCGTGAAATCTCGACGCCCTTTTACTGGGGTTTTTGATTCTGGGATGTAAATTGTTTTTGGGTTTCTTTTGATACCCACATTCGTAACTGAATCCTAACTATTAACTAATCTATTTGAAGGGTTGTGCTTTGATTCTGTGATGAATGTTTAAGCATCGTTCTCGATGTTTTTAGATGTGGGTCTAATATTAATAGTTTATGTGAACAAATAATAATGCAGTGAATTAGAACGTCTGGGAAAATTTCATTCATGGAAGAAGTTACTGTCCTAATTTTAAAAGAAGACCTACATTTTGAAATCCAAGGGACAAAACAAGTACTTTTGGACGTTGAAATTGATATGAAATTGTCTCATATTTTCAGTAAAATTTTGTTAACTGCATTAAGCTTATAAGAGTCATCATGCGTAGTAAGAAAGTTTGTGTCAAGTTCATAAAAAAATTTCACATTAATATTTGCAGGTCGTTACTTGATTTATTAGTATCAATATCATATACACAATTTGTGCCTTTTAATGTATCTATTTGTGTATTTTTGTATGTATATGTGTGTATATGTATGTGAATGTTTGTGTTTGTTTATCTATGTGTGTATGTGTAATTTTTATGACCATTTGCGTGTATATATGTATATTCGACTGTTTATATGTCATTGTGTATATGTGTATTTTTCTATGACTATTGTATGACACTTTTTTTTTCATAGATACGAATGTATACAAAATTATTGGTGGGAATCCTCAAATGGCTTTCATGATGTAAACATTTACATGGTGACACGTATATATATCCATATGACATGATTGTTGTTTTCTGTAATCTTGATTGTTGGTTCATATATGCAGGGGTAGAATGAAGGTGAATGGTAGTTTTAATGTAACCCAATAGTTCACTCATGATATATTTCTTAAACATGTCTTTCATTTTAACAAATGATACTTTAAAGTATGATTATGCTAATGTTTGATTTTTTTTTTTTGTTTAGGGCTTGTGGTTGATTCCTCCTTTAAACTTCCATTAGGCGGGTAAGCTATATATTGACATATTACTAATAATTTCAAATGTTAACAAAAACTGATTAGTTTTTTTGCTTCTTTGTGACCCTTTCTAGGTTCTTCCATTCAACAGTAAACCATGTGATGTGACAAAGAATTTTTGAAGTTTCTTCCCAAAAAACCATTTTACATGTCATTCCCACTTCTTCCTCGACACGATTACGAGCCCTGCTCTTACTATTCAAAAGCTAACAGCTTAGCTGCTTCGGTGCTAATGTGAGATGGTATGAATTTAATGATTATTTGATATTATAATGTAAAATTATTAGAATGACTATTAGATATAAATTCAATTCATATTCATCTTTAACTGTTTATAATTCTTCCTTTTAAACTACTAATTATATGGTTTTTTTAGTAATTCTTCCTTTAGTAATTTGATGTGATAATGTAACATTTTTTTTCTCTTGCTATTGACTTCTCGTGTTTGACTGGTTCTTGAGTTGTATACAAATATTTTTGTGCATTTGTATCTATAGGTCTACCGATTTTTTAGTATTAGAGTGTATATGCAAGTAGTTGGATGGCTATCTGTCTGTGTAGATGTGTATGTGTTTTTATTTGTATCTATGTGTATGTTTCTTTTTTTCTATATATCTATTTGATTGTTTATTTGTATATGCCTAATTATACATGTGAATGAATTTGTCTGTGATTTAGTAAGATTATTAAACAAACTGTACCTTGATTTATAGTTGAAAATTTGAAATTGTTGAAGTTGCTTTTGCCAATGTCCTTTGTTTTTTGAGTTTACTAAGAAAATACTAGAATATTTGTACAACCCACTATTAGATGAACTAACGTGTCAATATGATTACAGGAACCAAGTGTTAATTGGGGAAAATGTCACTTGTGGTTGCTAATAGATATACTACTTGGAATCAGAGTGAACAAGTGGTTATAAGTATGTTGTTGGGTAATGACATCTTCTCATTTACATTAAAACCTTATTTGATTAAAATCCCAATAAGAATTAAAAGGTACATTATAAACAAAAATCAATGTTTAATCGTTTATGGTGTCATCTTTGTAAAAGTTGATTGTAAACCATGGCAAGGATGCTACTGGATGCTCAAAACTTTTCTTCTTGATAAGAACTTGCTTAATTTAGTGTCAACTTTAGTTTTTCTTTAAGATAAATGGTTTCCGAGATTATAAGTTGTTATTGCTCATTTCTCTTATTCATTTATTCATTTTAATAGAGATTTTGCCAATGGTAGGTAGAGAAAATACGTTGTTATTTCCGACAATGATGTTGGGAAATGCAAGGATTTCTACTAGGGGTTTACCAGACCTAGGATATGGACGTCGGTGTGGACCATAGTTAATAATTTGATAAAGAACAACCATTAGATGTGAACGCAGAGACCTCATTTGTCACTAGAATTTCATATTTTTAGAATGAATGTTGATTATTGTGTCTTTGTGTGTATTTATTATTCGGGAATGGTGATTGTATTATTTGTCAAGTGAGGTTTTTAGATCTGTAAATCACAATATATTTGAACTATTTTGGAATTGATGACATGATTACACTTGTGATTTGTAAATGATAAGAGTCCAAATTAGTATGTATTTTGATGGAAGGGTATCCATAATCTTCATGTAGCTGTTGAAATCTTTTTTTTTTTTTTGAAAATTTCATTGAGATTGGTGGCTGTACTGCAAGTATCTTTAGAACTTCATTTTATTTTATATTATAAAAATATATATAACTTGGTTGCTATATATTAGTAGGTTACATATAGATATGTATGTTTTAACCGACAACAAATGTTTCATATATATATATATTTTTAATAGTTTTTGGCTTTAGTATCTCTAAAATAATTTGTATGTTTAGCAAACAATGTGTACCGAGTATCAAATAAATTATGCCATCCATTCAAAGTGAAAACTTGAATATAAGGTAAAAGAAATTTTTAGTATATGCTTTATAGTTACATAAAAACAATATGTTAATACTGAATTATAATATATACAATTATTTTGTCTTATTTCAGCTAATTTACTAGCCTATCATCTTTAGTCATTTTTTAAATGTACGAAACGTTTAAATAACAATTTATCATTTTTAAGTTTGAACTTTTTGATTTATTATATTAGTATAACAACTGAAGCTATACATATACTATAAATATTTTTTGAAAAAAGATAGTCTATATTTTTCATGGTAAGAAATTTTAGAAAAATATTTTCTAAGCAGACAAAATAATATTTTTTGATAAAAATTTCAGTTTTTTTTAATTAAAAATTTGAGATTTAACATTACATAGCGATGTCAAAAGGGTCATGACATGAAAATACAATTGAACATGAGGTTGTATACTCTTCAACAAAATTTTGATTTTATTCCAAAATAGCAATACATTATTATTTTTATACCCAAAATAGTTTTATACCGAAATAGAATTCCAAAAGCAAAGTTTTCAATGAAAGATAACAATTTACTGTCCACTAAAAGAAAAGAAAGCAACTTCTACTCACCACTCCATGGTAAAAAAAAAAAAAAAAAAAAAAAAAAAAAAAAAAAAAAAAACTAATTGTTGCTTCTAAATAATTCATCAAATGAAACAAATAGCCGCAGTAACATTGCACACCTCTAACTATATCAGATTGTCGGTTTCCCAATACAAATTGTTATTTTGATAATTATGTTTTTTTCGGGCTGTGCAGCTACCCACCTAGATAGATGCTATTCACCGAAAGAAACTATTTGACATAAAATAATCTGGAAAAAGGCTAATAGGAACCATCCGAAGGGAAAATAAAACTAATCGTCGCATGGAATCTACCCACTGAAAGACATTATCTAGAGTTGCCGCATCGCGCGGGTATCCCACTAGTATATATATATATATATATATATATATATAATATATATATATATATATATATATATATATATATATATATATATATATATATATATATATATATATATATATATACTATTCGTTTCCTTAGATTTATGACTACATTTAAAATGAAACATTTGAGAATATCAATGCCTAATAAACATATTCAACATTCCACCAACATTAATCTAAAACGCATTAGAGTGATGAAATTCTAGCCTTAAAATGAAACATTTGAGAATATCAATGCCTAATAAACATATTCAACATTCCACCAACATTAATCTAAAACGCATTAGAGTGATGAAATTATAGCCTTTATTATAGATTGAAAATATATAAACCAAAATTGAATGAATCTTCCTCTTAAAAATTCAACAAACTGTTTTACTTGTTTTTTATCAGGACAAAATAATTTCAATGTATGAACAGGCACACATATTTTATGACTGTTTCGTTGTTTTATCTTTAGTTCCCAACTATTGGTTCGATGGTGTGAAACACAAATACTATCGGAAGTGAGAAACACAAATACTATCGGAAGTGAGAAACACAAATACTAGATTGACGATCCAATGTTTTTACCATAGGGCAAGATATTTTTTTGATTAAGAAAGCTCTTTGATTAGACTAGTCAGAAAAGAAATTACAACTTAAATGCATTTAAACAGTTATATTTAATTATTTATCACATATTGTAACAATAAAACATTCTTCATATTGGGTTTTCCAATTATATATAATTTTCTGAAGTAATTTTTTTGGACCATATCAAGACCTAATAAACATTCAAGGTTCCAGTCAAATAAATCTAAAATATGAAAAAAGTTAGACAAATAAAATCCACCGATCAAAGATACTTTATGCGATTTTTTTTTATCTAATTAAGAATTGGACAATGTAAAAAGTTGAATGTGTCTTAAGATGACAAGTTTGATTAAGTCATTGTTTATTTTTTTACTCTATCCACACATACGGTACCTTGATATGTTCCAATGTTTTTTACTATAAAAGCATCACCACGTTGCATGTTATTCACATACTTCTCAAGCTAATTAACAAACACATCAAAGCACAAGTTTCCCCTTCTCAACAATGACATCTCATTTGCTTTTATTTGGTCTCTTGGTGGCGTGCTGCTCCATTGCGTTTGCTTCGGACCCTAGTCCTCTTCAGGACTTCTGTGTGGCAGACCAAAATAGCACAGGTAAGAATTTTCATGCATGTTTTGAAAATATATCATATTTAACTGTGATTAATAGTTTATTTATTATTATTTTTCCTCGTAGTATTCGTGAATGGCTTGGTTTGCAAAGAGGCAAGGCTTGTACAAGCTGATGATTTCTTTTATAGTGGGCTGCAACTAATGGGAAATACTTCGAATGCGGTTGGGTCTGCTGTGACTCCTGTGACTGTACAGAGTTGCCGGGACTTAACACTCTTGGTATCTCAATGGCACGTATTGACTTTGCCCCACAGGGTATTAACCCCCCACATACACACCCTCGGGCCACTGAAATTTTGACTGTTATGGAAGGCCGTATTCTAGTCGGGTTTGTCACATCCAACCCTGAAAACCGACTCATCACAAAACTACTTCAGAAAGGCGATGTTTTCGTGTTCCCACAAGGTCTGATTCACTTCCAGAAAAATGTGGGAAATGGCTATGCTGTTGCTATTGCTGCTTTGAGTAGTCAAAATCCAGGTGTTATTACCATTGCAAATGCTGTGTTTGGATCAAATCCTGATATCGCAACAGATATTCTTGCAAAGGCTTTTCAAGTTGACGTCAACGTCGTCTGTCAAATTCAATCTAAGTTCTAGCTTTTATGCGATTTAAAAATGTTGTTTTCAGTGTTTTATACCCTTCAATCTTTTGATATTTGTTATTCTTGTGTTGCTATTTTTAAAATTGACTAAAATATATATATATATATATATATATATATATATATATATATATATATATATATATATATTTTATTGTAACCGTGATTTAGATGTAAATCTTATTTGGAGTTAACTACTTCAAAACTATGATCTAATGTTAGGATCTTGCATTGTGCTAGCAATTGAGTTCCAAATTACAAAGACAAAATAAGATTAAATGGTCCCATGTGCTTTAAGAAAGTGAGAAGTTCGGTACTAAATTTTTTTTCTTGATGAGTATGGTCCTTATGGTTTCAATTACTGGCGTGATCGCTCCATAATGCATAACCTATGCAAATTGACTTTTGTATCATTTTAACCTATGCAAAAAGTATAATAAGCAAATTGTAACCCCACACCCACTCCCATCCACCTCTAGTTACGCTACCATACTACTACAAGAAAAAGGGGTATTAGAGACTCACACAATCAGTCTCAGATGGATAATAATCGGTCTATGATGAGATTTTGCTAGTCCCCAGCTAGTCCTAGATATTGGGTTTCTTATGTATATGGGACTAAAAATCAATCTCTAATACATCAATGTCACACCCTCAAACTAAGGATGGCGGAAACATCTGTGGGTGGAGAACTTCATGTATAGTATCTTAACAACGAGTATAATAGTGATCAAAATAAATACAATCATCATGAATATAATCGAGAAAGTTACATGGTTTCATGAATATATGTTTCAAAATCGATTACAATATAATGATAAAATGGTTTGTCTAACGTCGTAGCGTTCCATCCTCAAATGCTGGTAGTCACTTAGTTTTATTGATTACCTGAGAATACAAGTAAATTTTGAAAGAGTGTCAACAATTAAGTTGGTGAGTGCATAAGCTTTTGTTTATAAAGTTGAAAACCTTTCTTTGTAAATGTAGTATATGCACAAGAAAAATCTAATATTTTCCTTATAAAATGAATTGCAGTCTTAAGACCAGAAGACCGAAATGTACACGTATTTTTTCCATACTTATAATAGTGTATGTAGTTTCATGATAATAAAACTGAAACAACCCAAAATTACAAGCCAAAAATTTCGTTTGAAAACAATACTAAAACCATAATATCCAAATATCATATAAGACAACATAAGTCGTGTGTCTCAAAATTTCATAAAATATGTCTCTTATCAACTGGTGTCAAAGTCATGTCAAAATATCAGAGTCTAACTCCTAGGCTAAAACTATGGTGTATGCCATGCCATCAACACGAGCCCTTCCCCTTGCTAGCTGAAGTACCTGAAACCAAAACTGAAACTGTAAGCACGAAGCTTAGTGAGATCCTCCAAACTACCACATACCATGCAATAACAAATAAATCACATACTGGGCCTTACCCACTACATCGGACCGAAGTTCGGAACTGACTAGGGCCTCACCCTCTGCATCAAATCGGAGTCTGGAAATAACTTGGCCTTGCCCACTGCATCGGACCGAAGTCCGGAACTAACTAGGGCATTGTCCTCTGCATCAGATTGGAGTCTGGAACTGACTTGGGCCTTGCCCACTGCATCGGACCAAAGTCCAGAACTAACTGAACATAACATAACATAATCATAACATATAACAATAACACATATACTGCATGCTACATCAGACCGCATCCCGGAACCCATAACGCATAGACAAGCCTGAATCAAAAAGACATCAAGCATACTGAACTACTGCTATCTAAACAGGCCGACATTGTGGCCGTAGACCCGTTCCTACAATAAGGAGACTCACCTCGTAAGGCTGACTTCTGAAATGTTGATCGGGAGTTGTTTGACTGCTGCTCCGATAACTCCCTGGCTACAATTCCCATAAAGACACTTAATCAAACACTGATAAATAATCTTAGGGTAAAATGACCATTTTAGCCCTGGTCAAAGTCAACTTCCAGTTGACCTGACTCGTCGAGTTGGGCCGCCAACTCGTTGAGTCCCTATTCTTTCTTTTATCCTTCTATCTGACTCTACTCGTCGAGTTTAGAAAGACTCGACGAGTTCCCCTTCTATAATGACATTTAGTCAACCTTCATCTGACTCGCCGAGTTGTATGAACAACTCTTCGAGTCCTCTTTCATCATATGAACACGTCCAAACTATGACTCGTTGAGTTGTTTGAACAACTCGTCGAGTCTGTTCTTGTAGGTAAGGAGATTGCCTTGGACTCGCCGAGTGTTTTCTATCGCTCGTCTAGTCCCATGATTTCCAGATTGTAGCTATATCTCAATATGTCAGATCACTCCTATGGACTCATCTCAATGCTTGTTATTACTCAGCTAGGTCCCTTTGAACCACAACAGATTGGGGACTGAAGCCCCTGGACTCGCCGAGTTCCAAGAACAACTTGTCGAGTTGCCTATTGTCCAAGTCTATAATCTCAATTTCTGGTGTACAATTGTCATCCAAAAGGTAGATATGGGCTTCTAAGATCGATCTAGCACGTAAAGTTATGAACTTTATGTGCATGCATGGAAGTATAAGCTTTAAGGACCCAAAATGAGGTCTAAAGGGGTGCATGGGCTAATATAGCCATAAAACTTGCATCTTTATGCCATGAACTCGGTTTTAGAGTCTAGATCTGGAGGTGAATCGACTTGGGATGTCCAAGTCTTAAGGATTAAGCTTATTGACCCCAAAACTCCACAAAGGGGCAAAGGAGAAAATCTATAAAACCACAAGTCAAGTTTTGAGCTTGATTACTTGAAAGCGAAGAGAAACTGATGGTGTTCCTGGATCTAGTCCTTCTCCCTTGATCCTTCTTCCTTCCAACTCTTCTACTAGATACACAATGTACCAAAAACCCTCCAAGTCACTAAGAAAGCTCAAATTTGCCAAAAGGAGTTAGGGTTTCGAAAGTAATGCTTTGGAGGTGATGGAGGCTGGAACTGAAGCTCATAATGTTGTTTAAATAGGGTGTAAAGCCCTTTAATTAGGGTTTCATCCAGACTGGCCTAATCGCCGAGTCCCAACATGGACTCGGCAAGTATGTCACTTAAACCCGCATCCCAACCTCGCATCTACTCAATGAGTTAGGGCTGCCACTCATCGAGTCACTAATACAAATGATATAAAAAATAGATCAAATACGTACCAGAAACGGGACGTTACAAAAACCCATTAGAATGTAGAAATCTGATGAGTGCAAATAGCTATACCTAATTTTAATATTTATAACCTAACTACCTTAACTAAAAAAATTGCACATAGACAGTGTACCAAGTCAAATTATAAAATAGTCGGATAAGTCGGGTGTCGATCACAAGTAACGATTTTAACTTATCAATTTATCTACCACTAAATTAACCTAGTTTTAATAAAGCAAGGGGTTTTTATCTAATTTTGCAAGTTTAGATGAACTTAATTCTTTAACACAAACTTAATCAATAAACAAACACTTCTGTTGGTTCAAATCCACTTTCACTCAATGGCTAATAAATTAGCTATGACAATTATTGTTGGTATCAATTAATAAAGTATTAGCAATTGAATTCCAAATTTACTAATATTCAATCAATTCATGTAAATTGTAACACCGTAGATTTCAAAACAAAATTTTCAATTTTTATAAAACATAATTCCATCAATATTCATCAAACAACCATATTAATTATCCAAAATAGGTCAATACAAAATCCCAAGATCACAATGTAAAAACTCCGAGTGTGTGTGTGTACGGATCAAGCCGGCGCCTTCCCGCGATCGTCACTAGTAGCTGAAACAATAACATTAAACACTGTAAGCACAAGGCTTAGTGAGTCCCCCAAAACACCACATATAACACATATTAGCCACTAAAGGCTATAACTCTATGGGTCCGTGCACCCAAACTCTGTGAACCCTCAGGTTCTATCTCTGATAAACATGCACTACATAAATCACATAGAAATAATGCAGTACAACACATAACATACATAGCATACAATACTCTATCACATAACTCAGGTTACCTACTCAAGGTAATATAGTATAGTGAGAAGACTCACCTCGCGTATCTCGGTATCTCACGAATCCTGGAAATCCCTCGTGCTCGATCCTCCGAGCTCTAATCCTCCTATAACATTATATGCTTCTAATTAACACTTTATATCTCTAAGGTTGACTATCTATAAGGAGTCAACACAGGTCAACTCTGGTCAACGGTCAACGGTCAACTCTGACCGGACTCGGCGAGTACCAAGGCGACTCGGCGAGTCTAGACGTTTTATCAACCCTCTGAAATCCTCTTACTACACGTCGAGTATCCCCCCTTTACTCGACGAGTTTCACCTGAATGAATCGCGGGGCCACCCCGACTCAACTCGCCGAGTCTCAAGGACAACTCGGCGAGTCCAGGTTTGACTCAGTCCACTCGTCATCCCTCTCCAACTCACCCTGACTCATTAGTCTACCCATGACTCGATTGGACCACTCGCTGAGCAGTCCCAAGGCAATCTTCAAGCTACTCGCCGAGTCGGATGAACAGACTCGGCGAGTCCATGCCATGCAACCACTCCAACTCGCTTCTAAGGTCAGATCTGCTTCCAAAAACTATAGATCTGGCCTCCCTCGACTGATTCATCACGTAAGCTCCTATCTTGGTGCTCATAACACACCCTATAACTCAATAATGGCGTTTTTGACCCAAGGCATGAGGATTCCAATCCAAAGCCTCCATTGATCCCCAAAAGCTTAGGTAAAGGGACACTCTGGACCTCTAAGGGTCCAGATCTATGGTTCCAACCTCATAAGGGACCAAAAGAACACCAAATCTTGCCATAAAAGGGTTCAACAAACCCTAAATCTAGATAAGCAACAACAACAAGAAGGTAACTCGGATTTATTACCACAAAAGTGATGCTCTGGACTCCAAACCCACAGAAGTTGCTCCTTCTTGCTTTCCCTTGGCTAGCTCTTCTCCTTT